ATATTTATATAGTGCTGCAGAATTGTGCACCTCACCCTCTCTTTTCCACCCTTTCTTTTCCCACACATCTGCACTGAGTAGGAGATCTCATTGTGCATGTGTATAGTGACAATAAAAGGTATTCTATTCTATTCACCACCTGCAACGTGTTGCAGGTTTAACTTAGCATTTATAAGCAGTATTATCACCTTATCAAGCACCACTAGCTTTGCATAATTCACAGTTCATAATAATCCTTATCTCATACTGGTCTCTCATGCTCCCCCTCAGTAGCTATATTAAGGTCCTGCCTCTTTAAACACCTCCTGCCCCACACCTCTTATTAAAAGCCCACTTTCTTTTGATTGGCCAGCTTCCGTTAGCCTGTTGTGGAGTAGCATTAGTTCTTTCAGATCCATTGACAGTATAAAAGATGGACAGAAAAATAAGCTTGCATTCTTTTTAGCTGCCCTTTGCCAAGCTGGGGGTGGCAGCTCTTAAGTGTCCACATACTTTAGCCTCATAGCGCTCTCCTTTCCTCTGCTGCCTCCTTCCAGGCTCCAGGAGGCAGTCTGCAGCTGACCCTGTACCAGTACAAGACCTGCCCGTTTTGCAGCAAGGTGCGAGCCTTCCTGGACTACCACGGGCTGCCATATGAGATCGTGGAGGTGAACCCGGTGATGAGGAAGGAGATTAAGTGGTCTACCTACAGAAAGGTGCCCATCCTGATGGTGGATGGTGAGGTGGTAAGACATTTGATGTCATCTTAAATCTTTGAGATGGGGGGACTGTTGAGAGAACAAAGTTAAGACTTGTTATGTTTTTGTCAAACATTCAGACAGATTTTAATTTCTGGCATGTCTTCATAACCCTCACTCACCACAAATTATATATTTTATACTATTTTAAGGATATTGTCTTAAAATCCTAACACTAAGAGCAGTCTGAGGACTGGGCTTCTGGCTCACAGGAGTCACTTACTCACAGAATTTGTATGACAGAAAATAAAGAAAAGCATGTCCACAAAAAAAAGAAAAGAAACCTTTGTCTAGTCTCTAATTAAGTACCTAAAAATGTGTCGGTTTTTCCTGTGAAACCCTTCAAACCATCATGTCCTGCTCTATTTCCTTTTTTAAATCTGCAGCAACTGAATGACTCGTCTGTCATCATCAGTTCGCTCAAGACCTATTTAGTCAACAAGTAAGTTGTGACTTCCTTCACTTGTTATTTCATGAGGAATTTTGTTTATATTTTCTGTTAATCACTTCAAATAAAGCTCTGAGAAATAATTTGATAGTGTAAAATAATCTATAAAATCTCAGGTGTGAAACTCTGTGGTTCAAATACATCCCACCCTGATCAGAGCATTAAAACTAAAATGCAGAAAAAACAATTTTAAAAGTCTTGTTATTAAAAATGTTATTATAATGTTATTATTGTACTTGATGTATGTGACAAAGTTAAAGTTTATTTCTATATTTTACTGAGAAAATATTAGAATTTAGAAAATATGCTGATTGTTATTCGACTAGTTAAATCCTTGGTCTCGTGTTCTGAGGGCAGGGTTTCTTATTTTGGTTTCCAAAGAAATACCAACACAATACATTTAAATAAGCCTCACAGTTTGGATGCTTGGGTTAATATTTTAAGAAAAACAGTTGTAAAATTTCTGGGGGGAGTTAAGTGACCCACCGCAGCAAGTGTGCTGTTATTTAATACTAATTGTAAAAACATAATTTAATGGTTCATTCTTACTTCCTTTGGTGTGGAATACACCTGGATGTGATTTATATCCAGCTCAGTGTTTTTGTCTTGAAATGGCATCAGTAAGCCAGTGTGGCCACAAGAGGAACTGCAGTTCCTCTTGTGGCCACATGAGGCTGGATCCAAAAGTGAGCACGTCACTGTAGATGCCCCGTGTTAAATGGTCAAACTGTACACTAGAAATATATTGTCAAAAAACAGAGTGGATAGTTTCTCTCTTCATAACAGTTCTTAGTGGGGCTCATCCACCTGGATAATTGAGTTGGAGGCATCACTTTGTTGACTGACAGGTGTCCTCACACAGGTTGCATGAGCTGATCTTATTTGGACTCCATTCTTAAAGATAAAATATCTAAATTTGTGCCGTCTTTATAAGAAAAAAAAAATCTTTACCTTGGGGGTTTTTTTGCAGGAAGAAGAGCATGTCCGACATCCTTCGCTGCTACCCGGAGATGAAGTCGGTGAATGACAGGGGGAAGGAGGTGATCGAGTACAACAACAAGTACTGGCTGATGCTGAGCGAGGGCGAGACCGTCGCAGTTTACCCACAGAAGGAAATGCAGAAGTAAGCCAAGCCCTGTTTCTCACACACAATTATTAGTGGACTCTTATTTTGAAAGGTAGCACGTGGGTGTAACCCAAAGGCTGTGGAGCATTATTGCTCTCAGGCTTGTGATTGGTCAGCTGATATGAAGCCTCTACTTTTAGCAATGGGAGATTTCTGTTTTCATCATTCTAATAAAGATCTGTGTGATGAGGAAAAATCGTAAATCTGCATGAATATGTGGTGGTGGTGGAGTTTTCTCCAAACTAAAGTCACGTGGTCCGCATCAGACCGTGACTCCATCTTTTCTGTGGATCGTAAATGTTTTCTGCTCTGCTTTCAGAGAGGAGATGAAGTGGCGTCAGTGGGCTGACGACTGGCTCGTACACCTCATATCTCCCAACGTGTACCGAACCACCAACGAGGCCCTGGCCTCCTTCGACTATATCGTACGCGAGGGCAAGTTTGGTACTTTTGAAGGCTTCTTCGCCAAATATGTTGGCGCTGCGGCCATGTTTGTCATCTCCAAAAGGCTGAAAAGTCGGTATGTGGTGTTAGATAACAGGCTATCGTGTTTCTGGTCATTTTAAGGTTTTTGGGGACGCGAGGTATTAATTTTCACTCCTTTGACCCCACAGACACAATCTGCAGGACGACGTCAGGGAGGATCTCTACAAGGCTGTCAACGACTGGGTGGCAGCCATTGGCAAGAATAGGAAGTTCATGGGTGGAGATCAGCCCAACCTGGCAGACCTGGTGAGGAAACGCAGCTTAGGTCCAGCTCAGGCTTGGTCTAGGGTCCAACTTAGGCTTGTTACTAATTTAATGTACATAAATTAGCCTGATTAAAGCTTCACCACAGACTGATAGAGACAGAAAGAGGTCGTTTTCAGGTCTGAAAAGTGAAGCCAGTGTTGAAGCAACTTAAACCTGTTTTCTTGTAATGGTCAGCAGGTGCTTGAATAAATACATCTTGTTCTGCAGATGTTTTAGAAAACATGCACTGATGGCCTCAAATACAAATTTTAGGTCTAGATTACTAATATTTTGTCCACGTGCCTGTTCGTTGTGCATCTCCAGCTGTTGATTTGCTCCACCTCACTTAACACTCGGCAGGTGTGACGCTGACGAGCTGAATAAGTGCTGTGACAAGTTTAATGTTGTGTGGATGAGCTGTTCTCATCTTATTTTGGCTAAAAGTTGGTTTCTGTTATCAGCGTTTCCCCTGCGATGACTACTGTCTGCTCCATGCTGCATGTTGGGGGCGGGGCCTACATATACGTTGATCCATGTTGGTTTGATTGACATTGTGAGGACATTCAATCCCATTATTGCCCTCTCAAGCCTCTTACCGCTAAGTTAACCCTTAACATAACTTTAAAACCAAGTTACAAAACTAACTTGGTTACACTCCCCCAGACGGAGGCGCTGCATTGGTGCCCAGTTTGTTCTACGTTTACAAAAATGTGTGTACTTTCCTTTAAACATCTGTAGTTCAAAAGGATCATTTTCTTGCTGGTGTTCACATCAATGTGAGTGCCATCAAGAAAGTTACTCTTTGTATTTGTGCTTGTTTTAAAGCATAAGGTTTATTGTTACTGTAAAAGTAACTTTTTAATTACACAATTTTAGAATGTTTATTTTAGTTACTTTATGCAACAAAACCAGGCAGATAACACTGGATGGAACACTTTACTGTGTGACTGACAACCATTAGCCAATGAGCATGTAGATCCGCCTCACAATTCTAACATCCAATTTAAAAACACGACAAAATGTCTTCACTATGTCCATCTTTAGTATACAGTCCATTATATCCACTCCTTTACATCATCACAGAGATCCAAGAGCAGAAAAAAAACCCTGAAATACGGCATTTCGACCAGTCCCTGAGCTTTTGGCTCACAAGGATTGCCTAATTATTTGAAACTCTGGACATGTTTCATACAAGCATCCACAATTTTAACCTTCAGGCTTTGCACCTGTGCTCTTCTGTTACAGTCAGTGTTTGGAGTCCTGAGGGTGATGGATGGCCTGCAGGCGTTTGATGACATGATGGCGAACACCAAAGTGAAATATTGGTACAGACGCATGGAGAGCGCCACGCTCAACCACGAGGGTCTTAACGCTAAGCCTTATAAACACTGAACAGTAAAAGCTCCTGAAGGACGGCGACCAGAAACGAGAAGACGACCACCGCCAGGTCTTGTAGTGGTCACTCAACTTCCTGTACCTGAACCTGTTAATTGTTGTGAGTGGGTTTTTAATTGACTCCATCATTAACAGAGCTGCTTTTGTGGATCAAATCTGCTCTTGTTTAAAGGTCTGTCATTTTTACTGGCCTCTAGTGGTGAAATAGACGAACTGCAACAACAATATCATTGAAACACTTGATCTTGTTTTGTTAATTTTAAGGAACAGAAAAGTCACATCTTCAGAGTACGGTTAAAGGAGAAATCCGCACATATTCATCCAGCTAGTCTTCTAATTTCATCCACATATTTTTGAATTACTTTAGGTTTTTTCCGTTCTCATTCATCAGGCAGTCTACAGTGTGGCTATGAACAAAATTAAACCGATTTCCAGGTCGAGACTGGTGTGTGAAGGAAAGACATGATTGTTCCCTACGCTGCTTTGTCCTTTTGAAAATAGGAATTTGGAAACTGGTTGTATAAATTATTTCTTGTAACACTGTTTATTTCTGTGCTAGAGTTTTACTCCTACTTATCTCACATGGGAAAATCTTGGAAATCTAAATCGTCTGTGCTCAGGACTGCAGAGTCTGAGGCTCGTTTCTGCAGCTTTGTGTGGAAAAACGGTTCATGTTCTCTGTATTTATTTCAGATGATTGTTCCTCTGATGCAGTGTCGGTCAAGCCATGACGAATCGATATGTTCTGCGACTGTTTGGGTAAAAAAAATGTACGAATAATCATCGAGCTGGCACCGAATGTGTTTAATATGCAATATTTCAGCTGCAGCTGAAGTAACTGTAATAAAAACGACTCAGTGTGCATAGATGTAAAAAGGTCAAATAAAAAAGGTAAACATGAAGGTTGTCTCTTCTTTTTAAACCACATGTTGGTGCAGTTAATGTGTTACAGTTTTATAAAAATGTGTGTTTCTGATCTAAAACCCGCAGGACAACGGCCGGTGTCCTGCAGGCTTTAGATCTCACCCTCGGTCAACACACCTGAATCAAATGATTAGTTCATTACCAGGCCTCTGGAGAACTTCAAGACATGTTGAGGAGATAAATTAGCCATTTAAACCAGCTGTGTTGGATCAAGGACACATCTAAAACCTGCAGGACACCGGCCCTCGAGGCCTGGAGTTCCCCATCCCTGGTTTAAAGGGTAAATTAGGTTAGCGTTTAAAGGGTTAAGCCACATGCTTGAATACCAGTTACATTACACTATTACACTTCAGTCTCACTTCATCTACTTTAAGCATTTAAAATCTTACGAAAAATTGTTTTAGGACATTTTAATGCAAATTAAAACCTTATTTGTCGCATAAGGAATTAAGGTCCTTTTAGGACCATGTCCCCCTATGGAGGCCTTCCTGGAAACCCTCAATCTTACACTATTCCTCTGTGTCAGCACCTTCACTTTCTGTCTTCTGGCGTTCCTTTAGGGCCGATAGGGGCGATCGTGGCTCAAGAGTTGGGTGTTCGCCTTGTAATCGGAAGGTTGCCGGTTCGAGCCCCAGCTCGGACAGTCCTGGTCGGGCCTTGGGCAAGACACTTCACCTACCACCTACTGGTGTTGGCCAGAGGGGCCGATGGCGCGATATGGCAGCCTCGCTTCTGTCAGTCTGCCCCAGGGCAGCTGTGGCTACAACTGTAGCTTGCCTCCACCAGTGTGTGAATGGGTGGATGACTGGGTGTGTAAAGCGCTTTGGGGTCCCTAGGGGGGGCTAGTAAAAGCGCTATACAAATACAGGCCATTTACCATTTAGGGCTCGCCATATTGGCTTCCATCTCAACCCATCCTAGCAACCTCTTCTGTCACGTCAACCGTCTGTATGTCCTTCACTAAATCTATGACTCGTCTCTCTAGAAGGTATATCCACCATTGTTCCTCTGAACACATCCAAACTGCCCGGCCTCCGAAATACTTATTTCTGATCCTGGTCACTCCCAGTGAAAATCTAAGCATCTTCAGCTGTGCTCGGCTCTTTTCCATAATGCCACCATCTCCAAACTACACATCACAGCAGGTCTTGGATCTTTGTGAAGACAAACACGTCGAGCTCCCTACATGCAAAGTGGGGCAGGGAGCAGTCACTGCAGATAAAACACTGCAGACAACCTTTAGCCAAAATATGATAAGAACAGTTCATCCAAATGACCTCAAACTTGGCAGTAAACATACTGGAACCCTCTGAAACACAGCTGCCATGTTTGAACAGGTTCAGTTAAATGGAAGCTAAGATACAAAGAACAGAGCTCTCAGAGATTAATAGTAAAATAACATCTACAGTTTTGATCAGTGAGAAGACGTAAGCTGCACATTCCTTCCACCCCAGGAAAAGAAATCATTCAAAGCCCCAAATTGCAGTCAGTCATCTTCATCAGTGCATATAAACTTCTGACAGCTGTACATTGCAAATCTGCTCAAAATGTCATGTCAGACAGTTTAAAATACACAGAACAAGCCCCAAATAATCTGATTTTAGAAGATTAAAGCAAAAAATTAAAAAAAAAAAAAAATCCAAAAGGGAAATTTTCCACTAAGTGTTGATTGATTTTATTTCATTTAGTTTGCACATTTTCAACAACTCCTGTAGACTGCACTAATTCTGGTACCAATACATTTGTTTATTCTTCATTACATTCAGAAAAACAATCACTTTGAGTTTCACTTTACAAAACAGTCTGCGATCATTTCTGGATCAAACCTTTGGTTTCTCTCATGGACAATGATTTAAAACAACACTTCAAACCATGAATTTTTGCTCCACACAGTGAGAAAATAAATAAAAAGTCCAAATCATTTGACACAATTTGATTTGAACAGAAAATATTAAGGCTGAATAAACAGATTTCTACCTGCTCTGCTAAAACGTTGCGAGTAAGCAGCTTCTCTCTCCTCGGGATGATGAAACTTATAATGTTGAGAGCTGTAAACAAAACGACGACACTGGAAACCTCACTGATTTGGACGCCTTAAAATCAACACGTCCTCATTTTCTCATGTTTTACTCCACTCAGAAATCAAAGCAGGCACATCTGGCCCCCTGAGCAGATGTTCAGGTGACCGTGTTTACGTAGACATGAGCTTTGACTCAAAATCTTTTGACATCAACTTGAATCTGCTTCTTCAGGTCGGATGTTAACAGAGCAGCCTTTAAAGGTAATTTTTGTAATTTGCCCTCTGAGGAATCTAAACCCCTCACCACCAGGGGGCAGCATTTTACCAGCAGCACTGCTGAAGTGTTTAGAGATGTGTGCGGCTGCTCTTTTAGTATTTTATTTTATCCATTTCCTCTACAAGCTTTGCCTTTTGTCAGGCTGTGTTTACCTGGTTAAATAAAGGTTAAACTTACTCACTGCACCATCTGGTGGTATAAAATTGATACTGCACAGCATTAGAGCCCAGCCTGAGTTTAACTTCAGCAGATCTCTCTTCATCTCTAAAATAAAGTATGATAAAATCAAAGCAGTTCTGCTGATGGCTTCAAATTTGGAAGGTTTTAAAGCATTTTTAAAAACAGAGGGATTTTCAAGAAGAACCTTTAAAAGCATCAATCATTTGATTTTTACTTCATCGACAAATAATTTACTTTCACTTTTTGATTTCAGTAGCTTTTAATCCAGTTTTTATTCATCAATCTCACCACATTTTGTTCCAGTATGTCAGAGATGTGAATGATCAAATGTTGCCAGCTGCCTACACAGACTATGGGTGAGTAAGGCGATAGACGCGTGAGCAGCAATGGTGGAAATGCACCGAAGTATCGACAAATAAGATGACATTCGCCGGTGTCTGCGCAGCTGAAACACTTTAAAACTGGTCAGTTATTTTTGTGATTGAGATTTTGTTGTTTTTGTGCCACAAAAAGGAGAAAAACAAGAAGGTAAACTATTAAAAATTATTATCGGAATCAGCAAAATAATTTAACGTGAAAGTTAAGGCTGTGAAAGTGTCTCTCTTTAGGAGGAATGACTCGACATACCTGGGAATTTAAAAAAAAAAAAAAACCCTTCAGAAAAGCCAATGAAGTTAAGGTTAAAAGTACCCCACAGGTGTCAGTACCAGGATCACATCTGCTTCAGGTCAGCAGAAGCAGATGTGACCTCAAAAATGTGACCTTACAAACGCAGAGGACTCGTGAGGCTTCCAGTGTGTGACGTCAGTGTGTGACGTCAGTGTGTGACGTCAGTGTGCTCATTTAGATAAAAACTAAAACCACAGGACAACTTTTTCCCCTCTTCCCACTCACAGATGCTCTCAATTCATTTCTGCCTGACTCAGTCCTACAATGGCGTCGTCACCCAGCGCAGGTCCTCGTCGGTCAAGACCTCCAGAACCCGGAGCCCAGCTGGCCTCTGGGCGGACTGATCTGTCGTCTCTGCAGCGATGTCTGAGACAAAACACAAAAACAATCATTTCAATAAAAGCACAACACTGCACTGGTACTGTGTGTAATAACAGACAACATCTCATCATTAAGCCCCTTAAAATGTTGAGCTGATGTTTAAACTGAGCTCAGTGAGAATACAACTTAATTCCAAAGTTTTAATCCAGCTCAGCGTCACGCAGTTCAGTTCAGATATTACAGAATTTCTCAAATCTGTGCCATTTTTGCTCCGTCTGTTTTCACAGTCAGAGTCTCTAAAATAAGACTTGTAGCTGAAGTCAAACCTTTTCTAATGCTTCACTTTTAAGTGCTCAGATTAGGCCACCAGTCTGTAAACACTCCTCATAATCCAGACGAGATCTACTTTACACCCGTTTCTGTAAACACTACACCGGTTTTAATTATGTTCCCTTTTGTTTTACAATCATTATTTACCCCCTAACTATGTTACTGTTTGCCATGCAGCACTTTGAATTGTAAATCAACTTCTTTTTGGCCTTTATTTAATTTTATTTCTGAATAATTCAGCAGTTTGAATTATAGGAGGTGAAGGAAGGAGAAAAACCCAAGCACGGAATTACAGAGTTTTATCAGGGAAGGAAATATTTCTCTCTGGGTTTACAGCAGATCGATATTAAAGCCGTTAATCTGCAGGTTTAGTTTCAGATGCTTCCCTTTATTTGCCAGTTAAATTTCACATTTACTGAACAGCTTATTAAACTCTTACTGTTTTTTTATAGATTACAGTAATGAGCACTGCTGTTGTTGAAGCATTTTCTAACCATCGTGTGGTTTGTTCGCTCAGTCGCAGCTTCACGGCTGCAGACTTGTGATGACCGAAGGGCTCAGCATGGTTCTCGCTGGCAGTGCCGTGGAAAACCGCAGGGAGCCTCGGACAGCCCGTCTACCCGCAGAGAGCGTCTGTTGATGGAGGCTGTGTCCGCAGTATGAGTCAACGGGTCTGGTGGCTACTCTCGTTTGTACCGTTGTCGGTCCATCAGCTCGCCGTGGAGTAGAGTGAAGTTAAAACACGCAAAGAGCTAAAATGAGGAAACCGGTTTAGCTCACGGGGTGAGCAGGCGACCATATGCCAGAGTGGCCAGGGTGTGAATCTGACCTGAGGAACTTTACTGAGTATTTTCCCTTCGTTCTCCACCATCATCGGCAAAAAAACATTTAAAAAAAAAGAAAAAGAAAAAAGAAGAAGAGCTGAAGTGAAGCAGACCATAAAAACAACGTCTCCACTGCAGATACTGTCTGCAGTTTTCAAGCTGGATGTTTATTTGATGCTTCTCCATGTTTTCCTGCCGCTCCCTTCCCTGTTGCGTTTCCCAGAGGACTGCACAGGAACGTGTTTGTGTACACTGAAAAGCCCAAACTGACACCAGATCATCTGCCTTCATCTCACAGTATCCCACCATCCTCCTGCCCTCTGCATGTCACCCATGAACCTCCTCTGTAGTCTTCCCCTTATCCTCATGCCTGGCAGCTCCATATTAAACCTCCTTTGTCAAGTATGTCCACTTTCGATTGTGGCTCAAGAGTTGGGAGGTCGCCTTATAATCTGAAGGTTGCTGGTTCGAGCCCCAGCTTGGACAGTCTCGGTCGTTGTGTCCTTGGGCAAGACACTTCACCCATTGCCTACTGGTGGTGGTCAGGTGGTGCCAGTGTCCGGCAGACTCGCCTCTGTCAGTGCGCCCCAGGGTGGCTGTGGCTACAATGTAGCTGCCATCACCAGTGTGTGAATGTGTGTGTGAATGGGTGGATGACTGGATATGTAAAGCGCTTTGGGGTCCTTAGGGACTAGTAAGACGCTATAAAAATACAGGCCATTTCCCTCCTCTCAGATGCAATCGTGGTACCAGAGAACTATCAATCTTTTTATTTGGAAGAGCAGAGACTGCTTGGGATTCACTCACGTACTCATAAATCCCTTTTACAGTCTGCACACGTCTGTTTTAAGGATTCACTGAGTTAACATCCAAACCTTCACAGCATGTCGGGGGGGGTGTTTGACATACCTCCAGGAACTGTTTGAGTCTGATGACCGAGCCCATCTGTCCACTGCTGGTCACGGCTTCAATCCTGCACAGAAACACTTCTAGGTTAAACCTCTCACATGACCGCTGCAGGTGAAATGTTTACTGTTAAAACGTGCTTTCTACCTGGGGAAATATTCCTCTTTCAGTAGCAGGATGAGCTTCCAGAACTGGCTCCGATACTGGTTCATCAGAGCGTTCCCGCAAACCTGAAGGAAACAACGCTCAGGAGTTATCCACAGCTGCTTTCAGCGACAAAGAAACTGAAGTTTAGATTTAGGCTTAAAGAGCTTCAGGGACTGTGGTCATTTCACCTGACACTTTTTCATGGTTCATGGGCCGAAAATGCAAGCCACTGATTGTTTGAAGCAACAAACACACCTGATAATGAGCAGGATGTGTTCAGACTCACCTCTAGAAAGTCAAACAGCAGAGTCGCCGTGACGTCTGCCAGAGGCTCCATGTTGAGCATCTGAGCCAACCAACGCCAGCCGTGGTTCAGACCATGAGGAACGGGCTGAAACAAACAAATAAATAAAGACATTTTTGAAAAAGTGAGGGACTTTTAGACATTATAGGCAAGTTTAGGTTTAGCCTTGGACCATTCATCGCCATGGTAACTAAGATAATCCAGAGTAAGTTACACCCAATGATTGAGAACCAATCAATTCTCCTGAAAACCTCCTCGATGCACAGAAATAATATATCTTCTCTTCCCCCGGTTATTTGTTTGTTTCTTTAGTCTTTCTCGTTTCCTAATAAGAATCAGGAAGAAATCTCTGCCTCCTCAGTCTGACGTTTTGCTCGTTTGACATTATAAAAGCAGGAAGTGGGACAGT